TATAAATAAAATATATTCTTTTATTAGTATAGTAATATTAAAAATATATTCTTTTATTATAATAAACACAATACTCTTCTAGCTGAAAATAAAGTTAAGAAAGATATTCTATTACTAAAATAAACAAAAAAGATAATTAGAAATGCTTATTAAATTACAGGAAGTAAACAAATAAATATACAAACAAATAAATATGAAGACAAATAAATAAATAAATAAATAAATAAATAAATAAATAAATAAGCAAACCCAGGCTCGCCCGTGAGGGTTTAGGGTTTAGGGTTTAGGGTTTAGGGTTTTTGTACCTTGAGTTGGATATCACCGAAGTTAGCATCTTCTAATGTAACTTGAATATGCAAATCTTTTTCTTGTTTTGTTTCGCTGGGTAGACCGCTGACTCTACCCTTTAATCCTTGTAGCTCCCCCTACAGCATAAAATAATTTATTTATATTTATGTTTGTCTCATTTACTTATTTATTTAAAGAAGAGGAGACATATAAACAAAAGAAGAAGAGACAAATAAACAAAGAAGAGACAAACCTGAGCAATGAATATGAGAAGAAGAGACAGATAAACAAAAGAACAAAAGATAAATAAACAAACAAAAGGAGACAAATAAACAAAAGAAGAAGAGACAAACGAACAAGAGAAGAAGAGACAAATAAACAAACAAAAGGAAACAAACAAACAAACAAAAGGAGACAAATAAACAAACAAAAGGAGACAAATAAACAAACAAAAGGAGACAAATAAACAAACAACAGGAGACAAATAAACAAACAAAAGGAGACAAACCTGAGTAATGAGTATGCGATCTCCGAGGCGGAAAGCGCTGCGCTGTTGTTTTAACATCTGATAAAGAGGTTTGTGTGCTGAGGAGACAGACAGAGAGGAGACAAATAAAGAAAAGGATAATAAAAAGAATAAGAATAATAAACAGAATAAGAATAATAAAAAGAATAAGAATAATAAAAAGAATAAGAATTAAAAGAGTAAAAAGAATCATAATAATAATAATTATTATTATAAACAAACCTGTAAGAGACTCTTCTCTATCAGCTAATAATAAAACAATAAAATAATAATAATTATAATTATAATAAACAAACCTGTAAGAGACTCTTCTCAATCAGCTAATATTAATAATAAAGCAATAAAACAACAACAACAACAACAACAACAACAACAACAACAACAACAACAACAACAACAACAACAAGAGACAGACAGAGAGGAGACAAATAAAGAAAAGGATAATAAAAAGAATAAGAATAATAAACAGAATAAGAATAATAAAAAAGAATAAGAATAATAAAAGGAATAAGAATAAAAAGAGTAAAAAGAATCATAATGACAATAATGATTATTATAAACAAACCTGTAAGAGACTCTTCTCTATCAACTAATAATAATAATAAAACAATAATAATAAAACAACAGCAGCAACAACAATAATAATAATAATAATAATATAATAATAAACAAACCTGCAAGAGACTCTTCTCTATCAGCTAACAATAATACTAATAATAACAATAAAGCAGTAATAATAAAACAATAATAAAACAATAATATAATAAATAATAATAATAATAAACAAACCTGTAAGAGACTCTTCTCTATCAGCTAATAATATAATAAAATAATAATAATACTAATAATAATACAATAGTAAACAAACCTGTAAGAGACTCTTCTCTATCCGCTAATATTAATAATAAAACAATAAAACAATAATAATAATATAATAGTAATAATAATAAAATAATAAACAAACCTGTAAGAGACTCTTCTCTATCCGCTTCGTTCATATTCTGACAGAATTCTTTTAACTCCGTCAGAGATGCAGAGACAGCCGAGCCCAGGACCAAATGTCTCAGCGCAATCTTCCTAATTATATATCCTGCTTCTTCGAACGTTAAACCTTAACAAATAAATATACAAGTAAATAAATAAATATATTAATTAATTACTTTATTTATTAATTAATTAAGGATTAGTTAATTACTTAAATATAAGTACAAAGAAATTAAAAGATAATAAAGAAGAAGAAATAAAAAGAATTAAAATACACAAAAACTGAGGAGACAGCAAAAAGAGAGACAAACAAAAAGAGACAGAGAAAAAATATTATTGAGATATATAAAAGATATTTAAAAAGAGACAGGAGTAGAAAGGAGACAGAAAAAAGATGAGGAGACAGTAGAAAGGAGACAGTAGAAAGGAGACAGTAACGTGATAAGGAGACACCAAAAAAAGACAAAAGAGAGAAGAAAAGGAGACAGTAAAAAGGAGACAGAAGAAGGAAGCGAAGGAGACAATAAAAAGGAGACAGAAGAAAGGAGGAGACAATGAAAAGGAGACAGAAAAAGGATAAGAATATATCAGCAAACTTCAGTGTCCCGGGTATCAAGCCTTGAGACAGTAGAAAAGGAGACAATAAAAAGGAGACAGTAGAAAGAAAAGGAGACAGTAGAAAGAAAAAGAGACAGTTGAAAGAAAAGGAGACAGTAGAAAGAAAAGGAGACAATAAAAAGAGACAGAAGACGGAAGAGGAGACAGAAGAAAGACGAGGAGACAGTAAAAAGGAGACAAAAGAAAGCAGCGAAGGAGACACCAAAGAAGAGACAGTAGAAAGAAAAGGAGACAATAGAGAGGAGACGAAGGAGACAGTAAAAAGGAGACAGAAGAAAGATAAGAATGTACCAGCAAACTTAACCGTCCCGGGTATCAAACCCTGTTCAACCTGTCCTCCGCTGCTGTCTACTTTGTCTCTGTCGAAGAACTTCTTCTCAGGCCGACTGTTTTTCTTAAACCCTAAACCACCAACAGTACGTGCTGCTGACTCTCCTTGCTGCAAACAAACATACAACCCTATACAATACTTCATTCATGCTCCTGCTTATCCTCCTGCTCAAAGTGCTGCTGCTGCTCAAAGTGCTGCTGCTGCTCAAAGTGCTGCTGTTGCTGAAAGTGCTGCTGCTGCTGCTGAAGCTGGTGCTGGGGGTGGTGCCGGTGCTGCTGTTGCTACTGAAGGTGCTGCAGCTGCTGGGGCTGCTGCTGCTGCTGCTGATCCTTCTGCTGTTGTTGCTACTACACTGCTGCAGAGGGGAATAGGAGACAAAAGAAAAAGAAGAAGAGACAGAGAAGGAGACAGACAAAGAGACAGAAACACAAAAAAGAGAGACAGAGAAAGAGACATCAAACACAGCGACAGACGGAAGAAAAAACAAAAGAGGAGACACAAGAAGAGACAGAAGAAAAATAAGAGACAGAAGAGATAGAATAAGAGACAAAAGAAGAGATAGAAGAAGAGACAGAAGAAGAGTAAGAGATAGAAGAAGAAGAGACAGAAGAAAAATAAGAGACAGAAGAAGAAGAGACAGAAGAGGACGAAGAGACAGAAGAAGAAAGAGACAGAAGAAGAATAAGAGACAGAAGAAGAAAGAGACAGAAGAAGAAGAAGAGACAGAAGAAGAAAGAGACAGAAGAAGAAGAAGAGACAGAAGAAGAAGAGACAGAAGAAGAGACAGAAGAAGAAGAGACAGAAGGAGAAGAAGAAGGAGACAGAAGAAGGAGACAGAAGAAAGAGACAAAAGAGCAGAGAGCTTACGTTGCTTTTATCGAGAAGGAAAGCCAAATCAATGCGGGGAATTAACCGCGCAGTTACAAACAAACCCTGCTGATCGGCTGAAACTATCTGAGCTAAGTCGCCTGCACGTACACCCCAGCAGCAGCAGCAGCAGCAAGATGATGAGCAGCAGCAACAGCAGCAGTAAGAGGCGCAGCAGCAGCAAAAGCAGCAAGAGGAGCAGCAGCAGGAGTAAGAGGAGCAGCAGCAGGAGCAGCAAAGGAGACAGCTTTAGATGGATGCATAATGAAGAAAAGCAAACAGATAAAAGGAGACAGATATATAAAGACAGAGACAAAGCAGAAATAATAAAAAGTAAAAGACAAGAAAAGCAGAGACAGAGTAAAAAGAGAAGATAAGAAAAGAAGCGAAGAGACAATAAAAGGAGACAGCAGACATCAAAAGGAGACAGCAGACATCAAAAGGAGACAGCAGACATCACAAGGAGACAGTAGACAAACCAAACGCAGAAAAAGAGAGGGGAGACAAACATCAAACAAAAACAAAAAATAACAGATGCATGCAAGAAAGGAAGAAGAGATAGCATAAAAGATAATAAGGAGACAAGAAGAGACAAAAAAAGATATAAAAGAGGAGGAGACAAGAGACACAAGTAACAGACAACAAAAGGAGACAGGAGAGGAGGAGGAGACAGATAAAAAGATAAAAAGATTAAAATATATTTTAATACCTGCATATACACCCCGCTTCACTCGGGCGAAGTCTCCTCGTTGAGGTACCATCTGTTGCTGCAGCGACTGCTGCAGCAGCAGCAGCAGCACAGCAGCAGCAAAAAGAGACATAAGCAAACAAGGAGACACATAAAAGAGACAGATATAGAAAGGAGACAGAGCAGAAGAAGTAAATAGAAGGAAGAGAAAGACAAAGGAGACAGAGAAGAGACAGAAAGAAGAAAAAACAAGAGGAGACATAATCTTAAAAAAAGAGACAAAGGAGACAGTAAACAGAAAAAGATAAAATAGAGAGACGCAAGGAAGATAAAAGAAGAAGAGACAGCAAGAGAAGGAGACATACAAAGGAGACAAAGATGCAGAGGAGACAGTTTAGAGATAAACAAATAAAACAAATAAAAAACAAATAAAAAAGAAAATAAATACAGCAAACAAAATAAACAACTAAAGCACAGAGATACTAAAACAAATACCGTGAAGAAGAAAACAAAGAAAAATAAAAAGAGCAGACAAGCGAGAGAGAGACAGAGACAGAGACAAAGAGACAGAGAGACAAATAAAAAACAACAGAAGAAGACAAACAAGAGAGAAAGAAGAGACAATGAAAAAGAAGAGGAGACAGAAGAGACAAATCAGAGACAGAAAACCAGTAAAAGGAGACAAAAATAAAAAAAAATAAAAGCAAATAAAAACAATAAAAGAATTTTAAAAGAATAAAAGGAGACAAACATAACAAAAGGAGACAAAAATAATAAAACAAGAAAATGAAAGGAGACAAACACAATAAAAGAAGACAAACATAATAAAAGGAGACAGAAATAAAAGAACGAAAAGTAAAAGGAGACAGACACAGTAAAAGGAGACAAACATAACAAAAGGAGACAAACATAATAAAAGGAGACAAAAATAATAAAAGGAGACAGAAATAGAAACAAGAAAAAAGAGGAGACAAACATAATAAAAGAAGACAGAAATAAAAACAAAAAGTAGAAGGAGACAGACATAATAAAAGGAGACAAACATAATAAGAGGAGACAAACACAATAAAAGGAGACAGAAATAAAAACAGAAAGCAGAGGGAGACAGACATAATAAAAGGAGACAAACATAACAAGAGGAGACAAAGACAACAAAAGGAGACAGAAAAAAAATAGCAAAAAGTAAAAGGAGACAGACGGAGACAGCTAACCTGTCTAAACACCCCCGGCATTTCTTTTAAGGGCACCATTTTAATATCTTTTGACAATCGCAGATTGCTGAACCCTCTGAGTGCTTCTTTTACAGCGAACTGGTTCTCCGCTTCAACATATAAATATCCTAAACAAAACAAATACTTTACTCTACTTTATATCTCTTTATTTCTTTGTTTTATCTCTCGTATACTCTTATATATATATATATATATATATATATATATATATATATATGCACATGTTCGCTTTCTTATGCATTTTGTTTATTACTATCAATTTTTTTTCTTCATTTACTTCTTCTTTTTCATGTTTTGTTTGGTGCTTGTCCGTACACTATAACTCTTCTTCTTTGTTTACCCTATTATTAACAAAGAATCAGACAGCTAGCTAGCTAGCTAGTTAGATAGATAGCTAACACCCTAACATCTAGTTATCTAGCTAGCTAGCAAACCAACCCCCCAACAGCTAACTAGCTAGCAAGCTAGCTAGCTAAACTCCTAACAGCTAGCTAGCTAAACTCCTAACAGCTAGGTAGCTAAACCCCTAACAGCTAGGTAGCTAAACCCCTAACAGCTAGCTAGCTAGGTAGCTAGACCCCCAACAGCTGCCTAGGTAGCTAGCTAAACCCCTAATATCTAGCTAGCTAACCAGCTAACCAGCTAACCGTCTAGCTAGCTAGCTAGCTAGCTAGCTGTAAGGGATTGTCTGACCTTTGAGATCATCTGAAGCGAAGACGGAGTAAATTTGGAGGTCTATGCCTCGCTTTGCATGCACAAAACATTTGTTTAATATCGCTATCACCTCCTCCCGCTCTGTCCCGCTCTGAAACACGCATAAACCCTAAACCCTAAACCCTAAACCCTAAATCCTAAACCATAAACAGGATATCCTAAACCCTAAACCCTACAGAATAAACCCTTGCTTGGCAGAGCGGATACTTCGTCTCACATCCAGGAAAGAACCAGACAAACCCTAAACCCTAAACCCTAAACCCTAAACAATCATACAAACGGAGTGCTACCCCAGACCCTCACTGCGGAGCAAACAAACCTAGGGTTTAGGGTTTAGGGTTTACCTTGTTTAGGCGAACCATCCACAGCTTGGGGTCCCTCATGTCCGGGAGAATATTCGCTTCTGCAGACTCCTCATCTGCGCAGAACTCCAAACCCTAAACCCTAAACCCTAAATTCTAAACCCTAAACCCGCTCCACCGTTTGTTTTTTTTTTCAGCCTGAGTCCCACAAACGATGAGCTGTACCGTTCTTGAGCCCTAAACCCTAAACCCTAAACCCTAAACCCTAAGCCCTAAACCCTAAACCCTAAACCCTAAACCGTACATTCGAGGGCCTCTGCATCATCGAATTCGTCTTCATCTTCCTCTCCTTCTTCAAAAGATTGGTCTTGGTATCTTCGTGTTAGAGAATCAATAGCTGAGACAAGGTGAGCAGAGCCCCCGCGGCGTCCCCAGTCTTGCTGCTGCTGCTGCTGCTGCTGCTGCTGCTGCTGCTGCGATAACCTCCGCGCTTCTGCTGCCTTTGCTGCCCAGCGAGAGGCCTCGCGAGCTTCGCTAGGATCAATAAATTCATCTGTCTCTTCTTCCTCTTCTTCATCCCCCACCTAAACCACAAACCCTAAACCCTAAACCCTAAACCCTAAACCCTAATAAGGCCAAAATCTCCTCTTCTCCAGCAACCGCAGCAAACCCTAAATCATGCAAAACCCTAAACCCTTCACACCTCATATTCGGCCCTTGCTGGCGTCACAAACCCTAAACCCTAAACCCTAAACCCTAAGCAGCAACGAGGCTGTAAACCAGCAAAACCCCCCCAAAACCTGCAGAAGGACCTGGCTGGGTGCAAACCCTAAACCCTAAACCCTAAACCCTAAACCCTAAACCACCGTTGACATACCTGGGCTTCAACATCTAGGAAAGCACTAACACCCCTTCTACGTTTTGAAGATCTTTCTTTGGTTTTGTTTGCTTTTGAGCTTCGTCTTTTAGTTTTGTCGCTGCTGCGGGGTTTGTCGTCGTCAGCGTCAGAGCCCTCCTCGCTGCTGCCATTGCTGCTGCTGCTGCTGCTCTCTTCTTCTTCTTCTTCTTCTGCAGAAGAAGAAGAAGGATCCTCCTCCTGCACTCAAACCCTAAACCCTAGTAAACCCTAAACCCTAAACCCTACACATGGCTGTAGGGAACCAAGCATGCGGGTGCAAACTCCCATCATAAAAACTACGCTTTAGGGTTTAGGGTTTAGGGTTTAGGGTTTAGGGTTTGTACTACAAAGAACTCTCACCTCCTTCTTCCCCATCTTCGCTTAAAGCTTTTAACACTCCTATGAACGCTGCGAAGCTCTAATACAATTGAGGGTTTAGGGTTTAGGGTTTAGGGTTTAGGGCTTCTGCTCCCGACTGAGGGATGTACTGCCACAGCAATAAGGAGAAGGGTTTAGAGTTCAGAGTTGAGGTAAAAGTCAACAAACTGTCGTGAAGGATTGCTGCTTGAAGAAGAAGGGTTTAGGGTTTAGGGTTTAAGGTTTAAGGTTTAGGGTTTGAGGCTTAGGGTTTAGTGTCAGAGCGCTGATTGAGGTGGTAGACAATAAAAGATGCAGAAAAGTGAAAGGAAAAGAGCTGCATTCACGTTTTAGGGTTTAGGGTTTAGGGACTAGGGTTTAGGGTTTAGGGTTTAGGGTTTTGAGGGCCTCAGCTAACGCTGGCGAAAGCCCCAAAGCGCATGCAGCGAGACAGACAGTTTAACTACTGCGATTATAAAACAAATAATTATTTATTTTTGTTTTTATATTTACTGTTTAAATAATCTATTAAAATGCTTCCTTAGCCGGCGTAGCTGCTCGCACCTCCTAAACCCTAAACCCTAAACCCTAAACCCTAAGCCCTAAACCCTAAACCCTAAGCCCTAAACCATAAACCCTAAACCCTAAACCATAAACCCTAAACCCTAAACACTAGACGGAGCTGCGCTTGTCTCGTGAAAAACTTGAGCGCGAAGCAAACACGCTGGAGAGGGATTCATTTGCATCTGGGGGCATAAACCCTAGACCCTAAACCCTAGACCCTAAACCCTAAACCCTAAACCCTACTTCCACCGGCATCTAACACAAAGCTGCTGCACAAGCTCAGCAGGGGTAAAGACATAAACAACAGCAGCGAGTTGCTGTAGCAGCAGCAGCAGCAGCCGTCGGAGCAGCAGCAGCAGCAGCAACATCGGAGCAGTAGCAGCAGTAACAGCAGCAGCAGCAGCGGCAGCAGCTGTAGGAGCAACAACAGCATCAACAACAGCAATAGCAGCAGCACAGCAGCAGCAACAGCAACAGCAGCAGCACAGCAGCAGCAACAGCAACAGCAACAGCAACAGCAGCAGCAACAGCAAATAATGCAGCAGCTAACTCGTATTCGAGATCAAGTGCATGCAGCCGTCAGCCGCCAAGGTAGCTCCACTTCAACATGTACGCAAACCCTAAACCCTAAACCCTAAACCCTAATGCGGTGTTAGAAGCCGCGAGACCCTAAAGGGAGCACTGTGCATACATTGCATTCCTAGGCAACGTGTAAATGAGGAGATTTAGGGTTTAGGGTTTAGGGTTTAGGGTTTAGGTAGACGTCCACCAGCCGTAGCGTTACCGGGAGACACATGAGGGCTTAATGCTTAGGGTTTAGGGTTTAGGGTTTAGGGTTTAGGGTTTATAATAACGAACCCAGTAAACCCTTTTCTTTCGGGTGTATGTACACTGCAGCAAACCCACAAAACCCCTGGCGTTGCTGCTGCTCTGCTTGCTGCAATAAGGAGACAGAAAGTCAAAAGAGTCTTCAGAGTTTATCTTCTTCTTCTGCTCTGCTTGTAGATAATAACAATAAGAATAATGTGCAGCATCTAGCAAAGGCTTTCCTGTAAGCCAGCAGCAGCACCAGCAGCAGCAGCAGCAGGCGTAGCAGCAGGAGCAGGTGCAGCAGAAGCAGGTGCAGCAAGAGAAGAAGCAGCAGCATTTGCTGCTGCTGATTATGATGGTATTGCTGCTGCTGCTGCTGCTGGATAACGGTCGCAGCTGCAGCACGTATTCCACCTGCAGCTGCAGCAGCAGCAGCAGCAGCAGCTTCACCTGCAGCAGCAGCAGCAGCTGCTGCTGCTGCAGTTTAGTTTAAAAAGACAATCCGGGAGGTGTTTAGTTTTATTTTAAAGAGATGAAGAAAAAACAGCAGAGATGAGAGCAGCGCAGTCTGTTGCTGCGGTGTACGTACACTGCAACTCTCAGAGCAGATATTTTTATTTTAACTGCAATTAAAATATTAAATCTTATTTATTATAATATATTAATATTTATAGTCAAAAGTATTAACTTTTTTGTCTTTGAAGAGCTTGAGGTGTACGTGCATGTACACTGGAAGGAATATATAAACAAGCGAAAGTCCTTTTATATATAAA